AATTGCTTAAATTAAGCATAAAACAAGCGTGCTCACTCGCTTTACTCGCTCAAACTGGTTTTTCTCGACAACGGAAATTTTTATTAATGTCGTTCGAATAACGACTAAAAGTGGTTTAATAAGATATATCACTCTATTCTCTTTGATGATTGTATGTGGTAACTGATTTTGCTTGAAAAAAAGATTAAAAAAACTGAAAAAAAAAACAAAACACACCCGAATACAAAGTTCCTCTCCATTTTTCAAATGGTCGGATCAAAAAAACGTAAGACATTTTTTTTAAAGGCCTTCGCCCAAAGTTCCAGCATGTTCGCAGCTTTGAAAATAGGCAATAATGCAATCTACACCATCCAAACGCACTATTATTTTTTTGGCTACTTAGAAATATGACATACTGATGGAAATCCTTGCCAATATCAGTTATCAGAGGCCCTCCTCTAATTACATGCACCAGCGGATTTAGGGGGGGGGGGGTAGATGCCCCCTTTCAGGGATTCGACCCCCTGCCGATCCAAAGGGCCCCCTATGTACTGTTTTGAGATCTCCATTTTTGGCTGACTGACCCTAAATTTTTCTGAAGGCGCCTTTGGAGCCAATATACACTAATTTTTAGGGGGGGGGGGGAAGAGCGCGCCGAAAAAACGCGTTTTTTTGGTCAAATTTTTCCAGAAGTGCCATTAAGCGCCTTTTTGGCCTGTTTGTATTATAAAATTGGCCTTCGATATACAAAATTTGGTAAATATGGGGTCTTTATAGTAATTTGAGAGAGCTCAGAAAATCAATTTGGTCGAGCTAACAGAAGGTCGACAAACTTTCGAAATTTTATTGAAAATTAGCTTCCCCCTCGAGAAAACTTAGATCCGCCCCGGATTACGTGTCAAATATTTCAGACAATTTATCTCAAATCTGAGGTTTCACAGCACTAGTCACAAAAGAATGACAGCAAGAAAAAAACTGGCTATAAATTTTTAGATTTACAATGTTCAATCAATGTTCGTAATTTTTCATTAAAATCAGGGGTGAATCTAGTAAATTTTGATGACCTTTTTTTAAGTCCAAATTTTAAGACCAAACTCATTTACCGTAAAATCTTTCAAAAAAACAGGGAACACATTTTGAAAAAGTTTGACAACTCGAAATTTTTTTGGCGCGCACTCCCTCAATTGAAACTTGTATCACTAGCATTTTTTCCATAAAACGAAAATTATTATATTTGTGTCTTGATAAATATTTTTGTGTTTTCTCCAAGAATTTCTCAATAATAAAATGACCCATTGGTTGAATGAAAGAAATCTCACAGTGACAGATAATTGGCAATTATAGATTATTTGGTTGAGATTTTGTTCAAACAAATTGAATTTATTCTGGGAGTGGCATAAAACGCAGAATTTAGTCTATACAAAAGTAAAAATATTTTAACAAAATTGACAAATTCACGGATAGAACCTGTTAACATTGGTAGCAATTTTTTGCGATACACGGTAACTCACGTACAGATGACAAAAATGTGCCAGACAAGGTCATTTTTCTACGTTTTGCTATAAGTCTTAATTATATACTTATTCTGGTTCGGTGCAACAAAATTGATTTTGGGGGACTCAACACTTGCGCAGACTACGGGTCTGCGCAATTTCTAAACATTGTTCTAGACCGCTCGGTGAACCAGTTTTAAATTCTATCAATTTACTCGCTTTTAGAGTTTCGCTTATTAGTTGCGTAGAAACATGTGGCAAATGTGTTCAAACCCTGTAGAGGAAAAATCGTTCGTAGGGGAAAATCGTTCTGATAAATCTAATTTTACTCTTCTGGGTGGCAGGCGTTAGCTCTGCACTCTGCACTACTTGTGTTGATTATAATTTGGTCACCTAACCCAAGCTAGAAGTCTCAACAGAGAAGCAGCAAATTCAAGGCACAAAAACAAATGGATTTGACTGCATTTTTTGGACTTTAACTTGAACTTAAGTTATTAAACAAGAAATTAGCGCATCTTTTTCAGTTTCGTAACTAGTTTGGGAGACATTATTGAATGGTTTCAGATGCGCTAAACTCTCTAGATTCTTTCGATTCACTCGGAATTCAACCAGTTTTAAAATGCAAAGAGAAGAAGAGTGTTTTATTAACCCACTGGTTCAGATTTTAATTTTCTAAAATGAATGTTTAAAAACTGAAACATTCAATGTTTAAATTTCAGGTAAACAAAAAACTCTCGAGACAATTACAAACGTCAGTAGTTTGTTTAGCAGGCGGTTGAGAGTTCTCTGCTCTGAATGCGCTGCTGTTAGATTCATTTGCGAAATCTAAGTCAACTTAGAAATTTTGGTAAAATACGCTAATATCATCAGAGTTTTTCACTTTTTTACTGTAATTTAAACCAATAGTTTAAACTTGACCTTCAACTTACCTCAAGGAAAACAAATTTGTTTACATAATTGTTCCGACCATTGAAAGTGGGGAAGAACTTTGTTTCCGGGTCTGTTTTAGTTTTTTCTTTTTTTCTTTTTGTTTTCCACGCAAAAAAATACCACAAATAATCATCGGAGAGGGTTGAGTGATAAATCATATTAAAGCCTTTATAGTCGTGATTTGAACGACATTAAAAAATTTCAGAAAAAAGTCTCAGTGTCGAGAAAATCCAGTTTGAATTTTTTGGTTTTTTGTCTTAATTCGAGCAAATAAAGCGAGCGAGCAGGCTTACAATATAGCTTATTTTAATGATTCAAAAGCTTACAGTAGCCAGTGGCTTAATCTAAAACTTAAAAATTTAGTTCGATTTGAGTAAATTTCGTTTTTTTTGGGTATTTTAGAGCCTTTTTGGAATACCTCTATTTGTTTTATCACTCTGTACTTTGCATATTGGGCTGGGAAAAAAAAATCAGAAAAATTGTGACTGGAATGATTTAATTAATTTTTGAAACTGTTGAAAAAAACTTTTTCATTGACTTTAAAAGACATTCCGAACATTTAGAGCGCTGCCTTGATACCAGCAGTCTGAATCTATAGTCAATGAAGTGGCTCTTTTCCAGTCCACCCTTTGGTGTTTTGTGAAATTCATTAAATTAAAATCTATTTAAATTGACTTTTCATGTTATAAACTGCAATAAAACATGTCAGCGTGCACAGGTGAACAAGTTTTTACAACGTTTACTGCATGAAAATTGCCTTGTGAACAAATTTTGAACAGTTTCATTTTGTAACTTTACGAGGGGGTGGGAAACAAGAAAAGAGCCAATAAGATAAGTATGAATACGCAGATTACCAGGTGACTTTTTAAATCATTCTGTCTATCGGAACTTTTTACTTCTATTATAACAGTTATCGGTCTCAAAATTGAGAAGAATAAATTGATCTGAGATCAGTTTTTATTCATTATTAGCGGAATAAAGTTAGCTGCTAGCATGGCCATTTTTGAAAAAGGCAAACTAAACTGTCTTGCAAAAATTTAATTTACTTTTTTTTGTGCACGTGTGAAAAAATTTGTTTATTGTTAAAGAATTATAATAGTGTGTTCTCTCTTTTCGTCCTATGAAACAAATGACTTTTCAAAACATTGAAACCTTGAAAAGGAAAAAACGTCTCTCATAATAATGTAAATCGAGCTAATTCGAATTAAAACAAAAGCAAGCGCAAAAATGTTTGCAGGATCCCACCATTCTGCTTCATGAATAAATTTCAAAAATTGAGAACTCAAATCATTACGAGGCCAAACTGTGCACTGGATAGGCGCACAATTTTGTGTCTGTATGGTCCTGGATTCCAGAGACAAGTTTTTAAACATGTTAAAATTTTGTCGGAACGATCAAAGGAAAAGAAAGAACAAAAGACGAACAAAGGGAGCGTCCTTTTTGCGGAATCCGCTTACAATGCACAAAATGCACAGTTTGGACTCGTAATGAAAAGGTGGAATATTTTTTCAAACTTCTTCATTTTGTGTCCAAAATCCAAATTAATATTTTTTTAGAAATTTCCATTGAAATAAATGAAGTATGAAGTTAAGTTGAGATGAGTAGTACAAATAGCTAAGACAACGTAAAATAGTTTGTATAATTTAATTTGGAGGCCAGTGTCTATTCAGAAATTGTCTAATTCAGTCTGAAAACCAAAAATAATGAGATCAATTTTTCTTAGCACAATTTTTTTTAAGTTCGAGTTTTAATCACAAAAAATTAGGTTTCATTGTAATTGAATTCCTACATTCTTGTAATTGAATTCCTACAGTTTCATTATAATTGAATTCCCACTTGAATTCCTACATTTTATCCTTGAGATGGCGAGATGGTTCCTTCCCACTATCTGAGACTGATCTCAACAAAACACATGTCGCATTACAATTTTGTTCTTCAACCTCAAAAACAAGCATAATTTTGCTTGTGACAAGAAGTCCAGAAAAACATGGGGCATCTAGCGATTAAATATTATAACAACACAGTAAATGCAAAATGATTTATTTTAAAAACTTATTACTACAGATCACCGGCGGATTCGACCACCTCAGGAATTCCCCCTTTGTGTTGTTTTGAGATATCCATTTTTGGCTGACGGACCCTAAAATTTTTCTAAAGGCACCAATATATAATAATGTAAAAGTGGGAGCGCGCGCCGAAAAAACCAACTTTTTGGTCAAATTTTTCCAAAAAGTGCCTAAAAACGCCTTTTTTGGCCTGTCTTTTTTAAAATTCCTCCCCCCCCCTCGAGAAAATCCTAGATCCGCCCTTGCTACAGACCAAACGCTGAAAACATTCCGACATATTTTTGTCGACACTGAAAAATACGTTCGGAGACTTTCATCAGGCAAATCAATTCTGAAAGGGTTTAAGTATGAAATAATTGTCGGTTACGACTGATTTTTCTTGGTACCTGGTAGTTATATTTGGGTGAGAAAAAAAGAGAACCGAATCCAATGTCCTCTCCATAATGAGCTATGCAGCTCATGGCATGGTGAATTTCCTCGTGGATAAAAAGACGAAGTTTTCCATTTTTTTTTCTAGACATTTTGTACTCACGAATTTCTCAATTGAGCCGCCTTGACAGCATTGAAGTGCCTAAATCCACCTGAAGCAGAAACATACAAATGAAGTATCACCATACGAGAGTCAGAAGCCATCTTAGGACCTCTTTTTTAGCAATTCCTCTCTCCTATATTGCCCAAAATATCTGCCACTTCAAATGAAAAATCTAAAAATGGACGAATTCATTGAATATGCAAATTTCTCCCCTTTTGGAACATTGTGTTGAAAACCCCGCTATTTTGATTCTGATGATCCAGTGAAAGCTGTATACATAGTCAGAAACGGAGCTAGGGTTTTTCTTGAGCTGAGCTATCGGCCAAATTGATTTTCCGAGCTTCCCGATTTCCTAGATTTCTGCGTCACAACTCCTTTTTGGAATGATTTGACCGAAAACTCGCATAATTTCTGCGCGCAGTATCCCTCGAAAGTAGCGTATATTTGACCAAAGGTGCCTCAAGAATAATTAAGGAATTATTTTGACTAAGAAAGGATGTCGTAACATCTCTTGACTCATTTGAAAAAGAAGGAAAACTCACCATCGTCTTCGGTTGTCGTCTTCAGTTGTGCAATGTTCACTCCTCCTCCGCCACCGGTTGAGCCTCCCGTGATACTCTCTGGAGTTGTAGTCGACATGGTGGAGTAGTTTAGACTGATGTTGAGGCTCGATGGTTGAGTGGGTTTGGAGGAGGATGTCGAGGGAAGAGGGGGTCGAGAGGGGGCAGTTGACAGGAGTCCCAGGGCGTCCCGCTCGTCTGTTGTCATTGAGGCCATCCCAGAATCGGTCTGAGACCTAAACGCAAAAAAAAACTAGCTTGCTGCTCTTGTTTCGCTTCCGTCCCCTTGCGGTTTTATTATGATGAACTTGTCTTTAACTTTAATTTTCGTGCGTGTGTGTGTGCGCGCGCGTGTGTGTGTGTGCGTGTGTGTGTAAGTGTATCGGGGTGCTGAAAAAGCCAAAAATATTATCAAACGAAAACAAAAACTATTATCAGTTTATCAAAGCATCTGAAAATGCAAAATCGAATAAAACTCTTGTTGCGACAGCCTCCCTGAAAGTTACCGGAAGCAATTTGAAATAATTATTGTTTTTTACCACCCGATTTGGACTACATTCAAGAAAGCTAGTGGTATCTTATTGTCGCCCTTTTGGTATTCTCTCTTTTTTGAAAATCAAACTTTTTTGAAAATGAAATTATCATTAGTAAATTCAACCCAAGGGAGGATTTAGGGGGAGGGGGCTTGGGGGGGGGGGATCTCTCCCTCTGTACTGTTTTGGGATATCCAGTTTTGGTGACAGACCCTAAAAATTTCTGCAGGCACCTCGGTGCCAATATTTACTAATTTTAAGGGGAAGCAATTTGTACTGTTTTGGGTGCACAAAATTTGGCCAAAACAGGGTCTCTTAAGTGCTTTGGGAGAGCTCGGAAAATCAATTTGGTCGACTTAAAAAAAAATAAAAAAGGTCGACAAATTTTTCGAATTTTTTTTTACAATCCGCCCCCTCGAGAAAATCCTACCTAGATCCGCCCCAGATTCAAACCACTGTAGTTTCACGGAAAAAAATGTCACAGGTATATAATCTTTTTAATTTTAGACATTAGGGCATTATTAGTGTTCAAGGTATTTAAAAAATTCCTCCAAACCTGATAGTCAAAAACTTTAGGGTCCGTCAGCCAAAAATCGGTATCTCAAAATAGTCCAAAAAGGGTACCTTTGGGTCGGTAGGGGCTCGAATTCCTAAGGGGAAGAAAGGCGTGTAAGGTGTGGCAAATACAAATTTAAAAATAATAAAAAACTAAAGGCATATTGTCGATTTTAAAAAGAATTTTCAAACAAACTAAGAGCAGAAATGGAAACAAATTGAATTTTTTGCAGTATGTGTTGTGCCGAAAGAAGAGCATATTCTTAGCGGTATAGATTTAAGCCAGGTCTTGAATATAGATTTAAAGATTTAAGCCACAATCCTAGCGTTATATGTTTAAGCTATAGATTTAAGCAGATCTTGATCTATGTTAACCGAAACTTACTGGCGCGGCTTTTTTTTTGGTTTCTTTCATTTTCTGTTAACCTTGGTTGCTCTTGATTGAGGGGAAACAAGTTTTAAACATCATGATTATTGATAAACATGGTATAAGTAAGCCGCTAAGTTTTAGAATCTTAGCATTTGTGATATATTTTGACCTGGTGTGGTACCGCAACTGCTACTGCCATTGCAGTAACTATGCAGTCCTCATATATTGGCCTTGATAGTGCTACTTACATCCTTACATCTGCCACTGCTATCGCAGTAATCAGATAGTCATCACATATTGACCTTGATAGTGCTATACATATTGTTATCTGTAAATTATATAATTCTATTATAAAAACCAAGGTCAAAGAATACGTGACCTTTTACAAATCCAAGAGAGTCAATCTCTCAGGCCTGTGGCTAAGAACACAGTCAGTAAGAAACTAACAACAGAAAAGAAACGGTTTCATTATGGTTAATTAAACTCTTCGAAACCACTTCAGTTTTCACTATACAACCTCAGAGGTATTGTTAGTTACCACATGGCGCAGCCAGCAGGATCCGGTTTCACTGCTCAGGATAATAGGACTGATCTAGGAATCCCAATATTTTGGGCATCTGCAAATTCAGACCCACCTTGGAGTTTTGAAACGTGGTTTGACCAGTTCCTATTAGCTGTTACAGTTAAAGAGAATGTGGATCCAGAAATAATGTTACAAGAACCCAAACCGGTATTAGAAGAACCTTTACCAACTCCTGAAACACCAGTACAAAACGAAGATGAGATTGCGACAGCAGAAAGAGAAGCTCGGAACAGATTGGCTCGAGATAGAGTGGTTCAAGAAAATGAAGAACGGACACTAAGAGGACCTAGAGTGGGACACAATGTATTCTATCACGAAGTGGGCAAACGGCTAACATCGAGATTATTCCTCGCTTTAGGAGCAGAAGGGAAGAAAAAATTTATACAAAAGAACCCTCACACAGAAATATCCAAACTAGGGTTTCGCGATATAATTCGATTAGCAAAACTCTCATTTGAGAAAACGAAATGTATTACCTATGAGAGATACAAACTGTTCACACGATCCCACGAATCAAATGAAACGTTGGAATCTTTTCATGCCGCACTGACTGCACAAGCAGCAAAGGCTGAATTGGGAGCGTTGGAAGAAGAATTGGTACGAGATTTATTCATCTCAAGAATGAAAAATGCTGTCCTCCAAGACACATTGACTTTCGAAACATTCTCTCCAGAAGAAGTGTTAAAACGTGCACTAAAGTTTGAATATAGCAAACAAACAACTCAAGCTTTCCAAAAATCTTCAAACACAAACAGCTCAGGACTGTTTACAACTCCACAGATGAAGATTAAACAAGAACCGATTATGGCAATCGGAAACAAAGGGTATAACTCTAGACGTCAAAATCAAAACAGAAGAAAACAGTACGAAAATAAACCTCCAAAAGGTAAAGGAGATCAAAAACAATGTACGAGATGCGGTAGAGCATTTGTAGAGAATCACTTAAAAAATTGTCCGGCAATGGGCAAAACATGTAAAAATTGTAACAAACCTAATCACTTCGCTAAAATGTGTAGGTCTCAACAAATTAACGAAATTGCAAATGAAGATTCGAGTTCGGGGGAAGAGTGCAATCTTATACAAACATTCGATTCATGTGATGACTTTGAAATCATGTCAGTAGAGGAAGAGTGCACTTCCATCATGGACATAGAAAATTACATCACAAAAAGGATTTCGGAAAATGCGTACAATAACGAAAGAAGTCAGAATAGAGCATTGACGGAGAAGTCGGGTAAAATTGAAAAGATCGAAATTCGCAGAAATCCCAAATCGCATCAAATTAAAGCACTTAAAGCTTTGGTTAAGATTGATAGTCATATTTTGAATATGACTATAGATACTGGCAGTCCAGTATCACTCCTGAATTGGGCAACAACGAAACAAATTCTGGAAGGACCTTCGAATTCAAAATTTATTCCGGCAGAAAAGCTGAACCTGTCCGCGCAGTTTGTGGATTATAATAAACGACCTATTCTAATATTAGGAGCGTTAAAGGCCAATCTACGTTCGGCAGGTTGGGAAGTGTTGGGAGCGATGTTACTGGTCACAGAGAGACGTATGCGGTGCATATTAGGTTTAGATCTTCAGAGTAAACTAGGAATTCAAACCACGCAAAAATCGGCTCCAACACGAAGGTCCAGGTTTGATGTGTTACTGTGCGAACAGTCAGATAGTTGGAAGATTTACTTTTATAAGAAGTTCAAAGATCTATTCGATAGACAAGGGGAATCAAAAAATCACATGGTGAGTACAAAATTTAAATATCCTCTGTGCCCTATTCAAGAGAAAGGTAGGAGAATTCCTATACACATTCAGGATAAAGTTCAAACAGAACTAGACAAGCTGCTCACAGAGGGACACATTGCGAAATTAGACAAATGCACAAGCGATTGTTTTATTGCCCCAATTGTTATCACAGTAAAAAAAGACGATTCTATTAAATTAGCCTTGGACGCCAAACCCATTAATAGACAGTTGTACAAAAATAAATACCAGATGCCTAATGTGGACGAACTGATTGATGGGGTTAGCCAGATCATCACATCAGCATCAGAAGGCTCTCTCTTTTTCACCGTGTTAGACCTGAAATATGCTTATAGCCAGATAAAACTAACTGCTGAAACAGCAAAACAATGCAATTTCAATATAATAGGGGGTAATGCAACGGGTACATACAGATTTCTGACAGGTTTCTACGGGTTGGCAGATATGCCAGCCGAATTCCAAAAAGCGATGGATAGAACACTAAACCACGCAAAGAATACCTTTTGTTTCTTGGATGATATTCTAATTGTTTCAAAGGGGGAAGCTAAAGAGCACGAGAAATTAGTACACAATGTGTTGCAAAAGTTGGACGACGAAAATCTCGCATTAAAAATTTCGAAATGCGAATTCTTGCAGCCCGCGGTGAACTGGTTAGGTCATAATTTGTCAATACAGGGTATAATTCCAAAAGTTACTAAAACGGAGGCATTTGCAAACCTTCAACCCCCCAAATCATTAGAGCAACTCAGATCGTTCATGGGTAGCATCAACTACTTAGCGAAATTTATCCCAAATGCGGCTAGTTTAACTGAAAAACTTAGACCACTACTGAAAGAAGAAAATGAAAAAAAGAAGATGAAAAATGTCCGGTTACCAGTTAAAAAATTTGAGTGGAACGATCAACACTCAGTAATCTTTGAGGACATAAAAAGGGCAGTTGCTAATATAGCCTTGTTAAACTATTACGATCCAGCAAAGCAATCTAGAGTAAAATGCGATGCAAGTCATAGTGGGCTCGGAGCTACTTTAGAACAATGGTCTCATCAGAGCGATTGGATACCGATCGCATTCGCTTCCCGGTATTTAAATGCTCAAGAAAAAAATATTCTACCAATGAACTTGAGCTATTAGCAGTAGTTTGGGCGGTAGATCGTTTCAAACATTATCTACTAGGGAGAGAATTTGTCATAGCAACTGACCACAAGGCATTGACATCAGCTTTGGGAGAACATAGATCAAATAAAACGTATCAATCTCGTTTGACTAGGTGGGTTGACCGATTATTGCCCTTCCAATTTAAAATTACTCATATTCCCGGAAAAGATATGGGTATCGTTGACTACTTGTCAAGAGAACCTAATGGAGAACCGTGGCCAGAATCGGAACTGGATGAGAGATTCGTAGTAACGTCTATAGAAAGTTTCCATA